TGTAAATATTGGAGGAGTTAACGAATTGAATTCAAATTAAAGTCTGATGTTTTCTGAGGGTTTTGGGTGGTTTCCACAGAAGAATGTGAGCAACAAGTCATCACAAGTGCAGAATTTTGGGACAAATGCCAGTTCTGAAGTTGCTGGATGTTGCCTGAAGACCTGAATCCCATAATGGACAACTTTTTTGTGCTGCAGCAGATTTGCAGATGCTCCATCGTGACTGGGATTTCGTGACCCCTTCAGACCACTTGCGCTCTGTTGGGAATTTGAAGCAGCTACTGAGGTAAAGATAAGGAGGGATTTCACTCTCACAGACCTCCCTGAGGAGCTTCTTTCCTTTTGTTTGGCTGCCTTCATCACTTCAGTCCAAACTTTAATCCCTCAAAACAGAGCCAGGCTTTCGAAATTCTTAATCCTGAGCGGGATTTACTTCACTCTTGCTGTCTTCGGAGCCGTTGAGGGGTTGAAGAGGCCAAACGCTGGAATTTCTTCTTCCACCGCTGTCCTCCTAAACTCTGTATGTGGTCAGAAAGCCACTTCCAGCCCCTTCATGTCATGCCCTCCTCCTCTCTCCGAGCTCTTATGCCACAGGATATTCTCGAATTAGACCTGTGGTGTTTATTTGTTCATAAAACTTGCGTTCTAAAAATGGCAAAACAGGGAACTTTCTGGGGTCAGAAGGAAGTGGAGGAGCTGAGATTGACAATAGAAATGGCAACAAAACGAAGGGACATTGATTGTTTTTTCAGGTTCTTCTTGAGAAGCTTCTTATCGGGTTGGAAAACCTGATAAGGCTTCTTGTCTGGATGCTTATTAGGCCTGTGCAGAGCAAAACTGGCTCCTTTGGCAGGTGTCCTACAGAAGTCAGTTGGTGGGAGAAACCTCAACCCAACACACAGCGACAGTTTTCACTGCTGCTGCTGCACACCTGCAATCATCCATCCCACATTTCAAATTTCTCTTTTCTGCGAGTTTGTCTGATGAAGGAAGTCCTTTTTTTATGTGTCTCTTCTCTCACTTGCTCTTATTTTCTTTCTGTCTGTCTCCTCTCCATGGAAAAACCCAGTCAAGGTTTTGCCCTTCTGCACCGACAAGCTGCTGAATAACTTTCCCTTTTGGCTCTGACGGACGCTGAGGCATATTCAGCTGCATGAAATAAATACATTTGAATGGCCGTTGGTGGAAATTGAGTGTAGTTTTGAGAGACAGTGGTCCCTCAGTGCTCTGCGGCTCGACTCCTCCTCGCTGGGTTCGGGTTTAGCGAGGAAGCAGCCAGTCTCCGTCACAGATGGTTTCTGTCCAAAAACCGCAGCAAGCTTTTTTTAGACGTTGGGGGGGAGAGACAGGGTGTGGATGACTGTGTGCCCACCACAACTATATGAGTAAACAGCACAGTCTCAGCGTGTGCATGCTCTACACAGAAAGGTCCATAAACAACGCCTCGGCGTGGCGGCTCAGACGGGCCCACGTGTTACGAAGAAATTATACATTGGTGTCACTTTTTGCAGACACTTGAGAAAACAAGTTGAAAGAAAGTGAGGAGAGAACCGGTCTCAGGATAACATGTTGTGTAATACCGTCCACTGATTGCACATTTTTCTCAAAGTAAGTCATTTTTTCCATCTCTTGCTAAGAACAAGAATTAGAAATCACCAAAAAAAAAAAAGCCCCCTCAGACACTCTCCTGCCTCTCTTATCTACTGCTTCGTTGTTTGGTCCTCACGTCAGACTGTTGAACATCACTAACCTTCAGCCTGAATTCACGCGCTGTCTCTGCATTTCTATAAACACTCTGATGACGTGTGAATAATTCAAAAGCTGCGTGATTAATAGAACAGCTTGAAAACAACTCCTTCCGTGCTTTATTTTCACACATGCGCTTCCTATGCATTCACACAAACAAGCGTGTCTAAGTGTCATTTGTCCGTCACTTATTGCAGCTTTGGAAAAATGGATAAAGAGCACGTGAGCAGCCCGTGATGTACCCGCAGTTTATCTAGGTTGATGTAATGCCATCGGCTGCTACAGACTCTACTGTTTGTTGTTGTGGCTTTGGAGTCTCTGCGCTGTTTCAGAGCATTTCTTCTTTACTGTGCAAGTTCAAGCCCACAGCAGCAAATTGATTCCAGCAGTCGCCTTTGCCTCCAGAGAGTCGCACGAACAAAACAAGCTGAGCAGACAGGAAGTAGTTGTCTTAAATGAAAGGCTGTCTTCTGAGGATATTAGTATTTTTGTATTATGTTAGTTGTGCTGCAAGCGAATGATTAGGAAAGCTTTACGGCAACATTGGATGTTTTTATTGCTTTTTTTTATCAGTGTTGTGTAAAAACTTGATTTGGATTTTTACTTCCAATCATTGATTGTGAAGGTGACATATAACGCAGTATGATAAAGGGTTTATATATAAACTGATGTTCAATAATAGCATCACCTGCATCTACATTGTAATAAAAAAACCTGTAAAAACACAGATATAATATACCAGTAATGTACTGTTTCTCTAAAACACGGTTAAAAAATGTAAAATGTGATCATTCTGTGCCAAAAACGACTGTTATCAGGTGGTTGCTGTAAAAACTGATGATGTGAATTAAACAAAAATAGTGTCCACAAAGCTCGGTCCAGACTAGCGACTGATTTCAGCAGCTGAGAATATTGCTAACTTTGCGCTGATGCCTTGAGACAGGCCATTTTTATTATATTTACTTCATTTACGTTACAAATAATAATTTCTCCTTCATTACATTTTCGCACTGACTAGACTACAATGCAACCTTCCTCTTCGTCTACCTCTTCTTTCTAGTAAAACACTATTATAAACAATACCTGTTAAACATTTGCACCCACCTGCTCATCAAACTGACTCTTATTTTAGGTCCAACAAAGTTTTATTCTTTTTAATACGTGTGTGAGACTATTTGACTGTTGTAGTAACTTATATTAAGACAAGATCTGCTCAGCTAAGTAAAGAGAACCAACAGCTCAACATTACTTTAAGACATGAAGGTCAGTCGATCTGGGAAAGTTCTTGAAAACTGTGTAAATTGCGCCACAAAAACCATGAAACTGTCCCTCAGTAGGACCGTCTCAGGACAAGAAGATCAAGAGTTCTTACTGCGGCAGAAGAGAAGCTCACCAAAGTTACCAGCCTCAGATCGATAAGTATCAGCATCACAGATTAGAGCCCACACCAGTGTTTCCTGCAGCACAAGAAGCAAACACATCTCAACATAAGCTATGACGAGGAGACTTTGTGAATCAGGCCATCATGATGAAATTGCTGCAAAGAAACCACGACTGAGGAAGACTGTGAAGAAGAACTGAACCGCTTGGACCAACAAACACAATGAACTTGACTGACTTTTTGGTGCAGCTGCTGTGTCTTTGTGAGATGAAAGTGACAAAGTGAAGCGAAGATGGGGAGCTGTGATAATGTTTCGAGACAACGCTTAACCAGCAACATCCTGCAGCGACTCTCCGTCTCTTCTGCTTTGAGCTCAGTGGGATCAGCGTTTGTTTTTCTGCAGCTCAATGAGCCTCCGGGCTCTCTGAGGGGCCAAGAAACAGAGTGATGGAGTGCTGCTTCTCATGACCGCCTCCACAATCACTCAACCCGAACCCAGTGGAGAGAAGCTTGGGTTAGACCGCAGAGCGAAGGAAAATCCACCAACAAGTGCTCAGCATATGTGGGAAATCCTTCAAGACTGCTGGAAACGCTGGCGGCCGCGACCTCATGAAGCTGGCTGAGAGAAGGAAGAGTGCTGTTGTCGAAGCAAAAAGAGGCTACTTTGACGACTGAATCTAAAAAATGAAGCTTTTTAAAAATGTACTTACTAATCTGTGTTATTTCTGTCTTGCAGAAAAAAATAAAGCAAACTTTTTGTCCCTTTTCTGTCTGCTCGCACCTTCAGCTATGCATCTGGCAGGCTTTTAAACAGCTAAAACATGTTTAATGAAAATGAGTGGCATTGAGTCATTTATATGCTGATGAAAGGCAAAAGATATGTTAATAACCATGATTTCCGGTAAGAGACCACTAAATGACAGTTAAAGATCTTTGATTCACCGCATCATCGTGCCAGTAATGATATTATTCATCGAAAAAGATGGCTCAGAATCATCCAGTGAGTGGCACATGGTTAAGAAACTCTTATGCTGCAGACATTTTAATGTCATCCCACATCAAAGAACTATGAGATTTCCCCTCCTATCAGTGTGATGATAGGTTCAGGGACAGTCGGAAAATGTGAAGTTAGAAGTTCACTGAAGTTGGCTGATCTAATCAAAGGACTACTACAAGTATACAGTTTAGGAAATGCTCAGAGCTTTTATTTTGGCATTATCACAGTGAAGAAATACTCACAATGTATGCATGTACACGAGGTTAATATAAAAATAAAACTCAAGTTTCAAAAGTACTCATAATGCAGACTAGAACATTTTATGAACTTGTGCTTTTTTTGTTTTGCTTTATGCTACAGTTTAGTTTGATAGATAGATAGATAGATAGATAGATAGATAGATAGATAGATAGATAGATTCTTTATTGTCTGTCTTGAGTAAAAACAGACATTCATCTTTCAAAAGGCTCAATGAAGCATTAAAACATAATTAAGAACCACTCCCAGGCACACTGACTAAAGCACATTTAACAATAGTTTAAGGGAAAACTACCCACAGAGGTACATGATAATGAAATGGTGCACGTGAAATTCAAATGCTGCACCTTAAAATTGAAATATCATGTATAATAACGGAATGCTGCACTCAAAAATTAACTTTTGCACCTGCAAAATGAAATATTGCACTAAACGGTTCATTGCATAAACACTTGAATATGCAACGTGTGTGCTGCATATCTCAAAATTGACCTGTGCATGATAAAACACGCTCTCCCTGTTGTATCTGGTTTCGGGTTGCGTGGTTATGCAACGTCTCAGTCGCTGACCCTATTTAAGTACATATTAAGAGTCGTTTACGGGTTGTGAAGCTGGTTTTTCCGTGCGGTACCTGAACGCCGCTTGAAGCAGAGGACCGTTCCGGAGCGGATCCACACAGACACAACAAGGCTCCACACGGGAACAAGGTAAGACAATATCCCGCACCAAGTTCATTAACGACGGCGTCAATACGCTAAACGTCGCTGTCAGCAGGGTTTGTCGCTATTTTATCTCCAAAAAACGGCGTCAGTTTGAGTTAGCGTTCGCCTCAAAGACTGACCGTTAAATTCAAATTTAGTGATAAAAAAACAGCGTTACTTGTTCCAGGTGTTGGTTTTTGCGGCTCGTTTCGGTGTTTTTGTGGCAGAAACGTGAACAGACATGCCGGGTTTTATCTTTCTTTATGGTGGATGTCCGCATGCCTCTTTTGTTTGGCTGAGGAAATTAAATTTAGCGCCAACTTCAAGCGTGGTCCTTCCGTCCGTCCGACAGACCGAGCGGCCGAGACTGACGGTAGGTAGACAGTGAAGCTAGCCGGCAGGTACAGCTGCTGCTGAGGGACACACTTTGACCCAAAACCGCCGCTAATGAACTGAATTTCACTATCAGGCACATGCTTCATTTTCTGCCTCTCATCGCGCCACGTTTACTTCCATTTCCTGCCCCCAGAAAACATAAAAAACAACCGTAATGTCTTTTAAATTTTCTAAGTTTTGACTCAAGATTATATGACTATTGTACTTAAAGCTTGTATGTGCCAGCGCGAGCCTGTGATGGATGAGAAAGCGCGTGTGTAATTGTCAGCTTCAGTGAGAGCGACCACGTGGGTCGATACCGGAGCCGGATCGATCAATTGCAACAGTTTGAAACCTTTCGATCAGCTAATCACAAATGATAATTCGGTATAAATGTGACTCAAAGTTGTGTGAGTGGATTTACAAACACATCCTCCACGTGAGAGTCAGTGATGGTGTCTCATGCTCCATCACAAATCGGTGAATGTTGACTTTGTTTTTGTTTTTATTTTTTAAAGAAATTGTATTACAATTAGATGTCTGTTTGAAAAACTATGTCGATTTTACCCCCTTCAACGTAAATCAAAATTTTGTCACAAGATCAGACAGTAAAGGTTAAAAAATAAAAAGGGGGAAGTCCAGTCAAGGTTTCATCAGCATGCCAGCCAGGAGAATGTAGTTTTACCAACAAGCTCTACATTCCTGTTGGTAAAAAAAACAAAACAGGCTGAATCTATGTCAAATCCGTCCTTATGTAGGTCACTTTTAAGTGGTTTCAGGGACTAGTTTTGCCGTATTCTTCCCAAAATGCGCTATAACGCCTCTGCATAACGAGGGATTTCTCTCTGAAACTGAATGGTGTGTTTCCTGGCGCGTCTCCATGTCACACGTGTCTGTGCTATTTGCGACTCGGCTGACCCTGAAGCAAGGGAGATGAGAGCACCAGAATGGCGGCTTTGTTTTCCACCCTGACAGCTGATGGGACAGCGGGGTCGATCCACCACTGGGCGGACGCGAGCATCTGTTTCGTGGGAGTTGAGTTTCCCCTCTTGTTGACTGATCTGACCAGCCATCAAAGCAAGAAGTTATTTATTATGTTGCGTGCCTCAAGGATAAGTGAGTCATTTTTTCGGCGGGTGTTAAGTAAAGATTAGGTTCTAAACGCACCCATAGTGAGGAAACTCTTACTCAGAAACCCATCAACGCTGACTGTAGTGTAGTCATGGTGATAAGTGGAGTTGTTGTTGCCACTTCATCAGTCTGCCATTTATCTAGACCACTTGAACAAACTATAAAGACAGGCAGCTGGTGATGTGCTTTGTTCCTGCTGTGTGTGAGTGGCGGGAAAGGATTCAGGGTGTAAAGGAGGCGGGTCACAAAGGAGACAATAGATTTGGAGACCTTTTATGCTCCCTCCCTCTTTTGGCATGGATGAGATTTTTTTTTTATTTTCCAGAGTTTTCCTAAAGGATTTATGCTGCACTCATTAGTGTCTCACGAAGGTCCGTTTTCCTGTCTCTGTGCTATTGTTTCCTGCTCTTGTTTGTATTGTCCTGATTACATCCTCGTTTTACAAAGCGTGACAATCTCTGCGGTTCCTTCCCTTGCGCAGACCTGTGTGGAAGGTGCAAATGACTGACCTAAATCATATTACGCACAGCCTGTCAGCACTGAGTGGAAATATTACAAACTGTAAGTACATGCTCTATTGCAGAGGTCAGCTGATGGGATTTTTTTCAGCACCGATACAGGGATCATCAACGTGTATAGCATAATTTGCGGTAAAAATTTAAATCTTGGAGTCAACATTTATAACATAAACTCAGACACAAAACTTTTTAGAAGTGCTTTTGTTTATTTTAGGGGTGGGACACGTTAATTAGCGTGATAATAACACGTTAAGTCCTACCCCTAATATACTTTAAAGCGTTAGTTAGGATTAATTAATTACAACAAAAACAATGCGTTAAAAAAATGAATGCATTTAATTGCAGTTTGCATCCAGGCAGCACAGAACGTTTGTCAGCGCTCGATTTCATGGCCCACCGATCACACTGATGCACAAGACGCGTCAGTGCTATGCTAACAACAACAAACATGGAGGAATCCGATGAGAGTGCATTGCTTGGACTGATGGAGGGCAAGTTTCATTTTTAAAAACTGCCTGATGGAAACCTTGACAAGAGTGTTCTTTTGTGCAACTTGTGCATAAAAGATAAAAGGTACTACCTGAATGTTGCAGCAAGCACAGAAACCGCCGGAGCTGTTAGTGCTAGTGGTCCTGGATAGCGACAAATTTTTTTAACGCATTCATTTTGTTGTAATTAATTAATCGTAATTAACGCGTTAAAGTCCCACCCCTAGTTTATTTATATTTTGTGTGTGTTAAATTAAAATGCTGAAGACGTTTGTAACATTTATCCCCAACAAGCCATTACTCATATTCCATAACCAATCACATCAGGGGTCGCCTGATATGCATTTTTAATTATTAGCTATCAAAAAGACTGAAAACCAATATTTGAGCCGATATGAATTTGAGCTATAAGCGAAATTCTTGATGTCAAAATTTAAAATTTATTCTCCAGGGTTGTGGGCAGGTTATTACTCGATGTGTGTAATTAGATAGTGCTGTGAGTGAGACATTGTTTATGACCACAGAAGGACCACAGATAGAGAGAGGAGGATGCATCAGAGCTAGAGGAACACATTTTAACATTTAAAAATTAAGTCATTTTATTGGCAATGGATTTAGAAAAGAAAAAGCAAAAAACAACAGCAAATGGAAACTTGCTGAAAACCGGATCTGATCATCAGCCAAACCTGTAAATGGTTTGCCCCTGCTGTATTTCAACAAATGTAGTCAGATACATATGAAAGTAATAAAAATTATGTTTTTTAGAAACTAACTGATTTGCATTCAGTTGTGTGTGCATCTTTATGAAGGTGACATATTTATGGCGACGTTAGTGCAACAACACCTATTCAGAGGATTCATTTCACCTTCTCTGATGAATGTAAATGGAGTCAACCTACTTCGGCTAATCATCTTGATTGACAGAGGTTGCCTCACCTCCACTGTTTCACTGAAAGAAAAGCTGCAATGCTTTGGAAACTGGGGAATTCTAAATCTAGCGTCGTCTCTTGGAGAAAAACGCTCATGTAGCGACCAGCAGCATCTGGCAAGCTAAGTTTTGTGTTTTGATTGGATTTCGTCTCCCAGCTTTAGTCCAGTCAGCGTCGTTTGAGGTCTGTTTGAATTAATTTTATCCGTCTCTATGTTTCTTTGTCTGCTGGAGGACCCTCGCTGTGTTACCTAGGCCTGCTGTGTCTGCTTGGTTTGCCCCTGATTTACCAAAGCGGCTCGCTGTGCATGTGGGAGTGATGAGGTGATGAGGTATTTGGCCACCTGTCAGGGTCCTTCTGTTCACAACCTACTGTACATTCCCTGAAATGAGCGGAAAGTGCAGGTTGAGAATGTATTTATTATTTTATTTCTGTCAGTCGGATTTCATTGTGCCACTAAGACAGAGCCAGTGACTGACATGAAAGGCCCGTGTGGACACACTGAAGAAACGGCTGCCGACTGTGAGATCGGTTTCCCACCAAACCACAGTGTGTGTGTATGATGGAAGATTGTGAAATTTTTGTGCACAGTTGCATTTGCTGCCAGGGCGACTACCTCCAAATGCAATCAAAAGTTAGATCAACAGAAATGCTAATGGCAACAAAATGTGATAAGTGTTGACCAGCGCTCTGTAAAGTCTTTGTCGGACCCGTCTGGTATCTGGAACCTGTGTTTGATGCATGATTGCTGCTGATTGAAATTCTAAATTGGATTTTCATGCAGATTAAAATCTTGACTGTGTGCTGAGTGTAAGTCGTTCATTATGAGTCTTCCAAGGTGAGTGGATTATCTGGGAATCCTTTCATTTGCAGCACACAGCAGTGTTTTCAGGGAACTTTCTTTGTCTTGTGGAGCCGGTTACTGTCTTAGAAAGTTAATAGATTTATATTCGGGCCTCGTTGCGTCTCCATAACATCCAAAGTTAGGTCGAAGGAATTACCAGAACTGATATTACATAAATGCAACCCCATGTCAGAGCCAGGAATATACTCTGTCACAGAGAGTCCATGAAAAGAAGGGATGCACAGATACCATGCTTTTTAGATGCATTTGGGCTCTTGTTTATACCATGAACTATCATAAAAGAGATTTCAGAACAGCTTTAACAATTATAGCATTTTTAAGCAGAAATACACAACAAAAAAAAACCTAACTCTCATTCCAACCTCTCAAATATGAATACTCATCTCTATTAGATATCATTGTAAACTAATGTATTGTTGTGTTTTGGAGTACTTCTTGGAAAGTCCTGATAAGATGTTAACCTGTTACTGACGAAGTGGTGAAAACAGTTCTTTCCACTATTTTTTGATGTGTAATATGTGTTAATTTATCAATTGAAAAAAGTACAAACACAGGCAGGTCAGTTAATAACACTTTTTATTTGAATTGCATTTTTCCATCTTTGTTTCTCTTAAAATATCCTCAAATTGCTGACCTTTCTCTGCACCACAACGGTACATCAGGTGCCCTTGATTCCAGCTATTTTCGAGTACATGAGCAC